TTTCCTCCTACTTCCTCCTGCTCCTTGATCCTCCCACCCCTTCCTACACCCTCGCTGGTGAGGGCTCACGGCGCACGCGCGTTCCGCGCGGATCACTGGTGCGCCTTTTGCTTCCCTCAGGCTTCTTGTGCTTCTTCCTGCCTCCCCAAGCTCCTCTTCCGTGTTCCTACCTGCTCATGCTCTTGCACGTTTCCAGTCTTTCCTATCACCATGCTCCCTCTCTTCACCTTGTTCATCATGATTTTCATGTTCCGCCTTCCTCTCCTTTGCTCCGCTTCCTGCACCTCATCATCCGCGAATACGGATGCGGCTCACTATTTTCGCCGCTTGCCCGATTACCCGGCCTTGATCAGGGCGACTCGCCTTGTGGTTGTTCGTGGATTGGCTCGTGAATATTTGAGCAACGCGTCAATGACTTCACCGGGCGTCTAGGTGTTATTGTTGGCGTCTGGGCGTTGCCGCTGGGGTTTACCGCGGGCCAGTGCGATTAACAATTGCAAGCGGCGCGTTGGCAGGCATTCGCCTTCCTGGAGACATCTGTCTGGTTTCGCAGTGACCTTCTTTCGCGCTGCTCTTGTTTCTTTGCCTCCAGTTTGCGGCTGTATGTTTGTAGCCTTTGACTGAGCTCCATCAGACGGCTATAATTCCGCTGCCCTCGCTCGATGCATGACCGCCCCCGCCGCAATGCTCGTGAACTTTCCGGTGGGCTGATCATTTGTGGTTTTGTCTGCAGTTGGACTGCGGGCGGAACGCGGGCGCCGCTTATGCAGTATTCCATTGTTCGTTTTCCTCTGAGGGCATCCGCAGTGGACTTTGCGCGCGCTTGTTTTTTTGTTGAGCAGATCAGTTCAATAAGATCTGTCGTTGTTCGGCACGAGACCACTAAAATGAAATTGGAAAAGGAAAAAATATCCACGCGTCCCTTCATAGCCCATGGCGAAGCCAAGGTGTGTCAAAATTGTAGTTACATGAACGCGGACCCCAGATTTTGTGAAGGCAGTCAGTTCGATGCGCGGCTTGGCGCCACTCGTCGGCCCAGAAAGACATGCCCTCACGAGAGGTTCATCGATGCTCACCTTTGCTGCACTCTTGGGCTTGGGCTTGGGCGCGGCCTTCGCCTTCGCCTTCATCGGGGTGACCTTCCGCGGCGTTTCCGTTGCAGCAGACGTCGATTTCATCGGCTTAGGCGTGCCCCTCTCCTTGCGCCTCTCCTTGACGCGGTCCTTCCTGCGCTTGCCCTTGGGGTCGAGGGGCGCAAGGGCGCCTCCAGGAGGCATGTCAGGGGAAGGAGCTGCATCCACGCGAGCTCGGTCAGCGGCAAGGTCGTGCCCACGAACGCTTTTATCCATGCTCATCTCATCCTCGTCGGAGCCGTTGTCGCTGTAGAGGATGGTTGGAGGCACGATCGACATGGCAGCAACGGATGAACACGGCGAGAGGCGCGGCCACCCATCCGCGTCGACACCTTGCGTGAACGAGTTGCCCTTAGCACGACCAGGCCCAGCAGCACTGTCGCCCGACGGAGCCCTCAGGCGAGAACCCTCGTGAAGATCCAAAAGGCTGTTGTATGTGTGCTTGTTTTTTGTTGTTTTGTTAAGTTTTTATTTGTTGTTGTTTTTTGTTTTTTTATTTGTGTTGTTCTTGTTTTTTTTTGTTTTTTGTTTTTGTCTGTTGCCCAACTTGAAGATGTTCTCGCCGTCGCTGCTTTTGATCATCTTCATCAAAGCCGTCTCCTCGGTGGCATCGGGCCCCGACGTGCCGTCCTCGAGTGGCTCAGGGGCGACGCCCGTCAGCTTCATCTTGCCAACCAAGCTGCGGACGACGCATTGGTCGGACGCGGTCATCTCCTTCCGAAACCGATGCGTCTTTTTGGTGTTGTTCTTATCTGGGTTGATCTCATGGCGGTGCAACTCCCTGAGGATAGCCATGAGGTTCTGAAGATGATCAGCAACTTTACTAGCGAAAAGGTCTGGCGAGGTTTTGACGATGGACTCCAGCGGCGTGACGTTCTTCACGCACAGCTCCACCCTGCTGGCTGGCAAGACACCGTTTTCGAAACCGACGCTGATCAGCCTGTCCAGCAGGCCTGCTGCCCTCACGACCGCGCCGACAGTAACGTGATAAGGCTCTGCCACCAACGGTCCAAGCTGATTCTGCAACGTCTCATGTTTGGTGTACTCGCGCAGCACATGGCAAATCGTATCCTCCCCAATGAATCGGTTTGCGAGTTCTCTGGGCCTGCGGGTCATGTTTAGGACTTGAGCCAGAACAGCTACGTGTGTGTTTTGTTTCCCATCGGACCTTGTATGGCATGTTTTCCTTTGTGTTGTGGACCCACAATTGACATGGATTCGCGTGAGCGGAAACCCCTCACCCCACCACAAACTTGAAATGGATTCGCATGAACGGAAATTCCTCACTCCGACCATGGTGGTGCGCCCTTGAACGCTACAATGTTCTACGACGTGGCGCGTCCTCAAATATCTTGGCAAGATATGGCGTATTCCATCCGCTTTGCATTACCGTACACCCTTCCCTCCCCTCCTCCTCCCTTCCCTCCCTCCTTCCTTCTCTCCTCCTCCCTCCTCCGCACTCCTCCTCGTCCTCGTCCTCCTCCGAAAGGGTCTTTTTTGGTCGGCCTTCGTTCCTCCGCTCCTCCTCATCCTCCCCCTCCTCCCCCTCCTCCATCCTCCTCCCCAAATCTGAGACCATCTAGAAACGCTGCCTATTCTGAGGCCAATTCTGTTGAACGAGCCCAAACGCCCAGTGATACAAAATCTTTTGAACGGGCGTTCCTGGGTTTTTGGTTTTGTTGAGGGCCTTCAAAGGCACAAGACCTCAAGCGACAGACAGAGAACGACCCAGCGTCCCAGCCTGCGTCCGACCGACCTCCTCCCGCCCTCCCCCTCCTCCATCCTCCATCATCCTCCATTATTCTGTCGTACTCATGTCGGCTCACGCCCAAGTAAAGCAGAGCTCGTCATGCCACGCCGAACGAGACAGACGTGATGCGTGAACATCCGTTGGCTGCAGAAAACTACATAGGTCTTGGTGAGACATTCAAATCTAAGGGCCAATCTAAGGGCAAATCTAAGGGCCAATCTAAGGTCCAATCTAGGGGTAAATCTAAGGTCCAATCTAGGGGCCGCCCATAGTTTGGCCCTCAGGTCCGTACATTAGACCATAGGTTCGTAGATTGGCCCAGAACTTAGTTTTCTGCGGGCCCCGGATGCTCAGGGCAACCGCAACGGCAACCGGGCGACACATTTCAAAGCGCCCGCGGGAGCGCGCAACCGCAGCCGCAACCGCAACCGGGCGACACATTTCAAAGCGCCCGCGGGAGCGCGCAACCGCAACCGCAACCCGGCGACACATTTCAAAGCGCCCGCGGGAGCGCGCAACCGCAACCGCAACCGCAACCGGGCGACACATTTCAAAGCGCCCGCGGGCGCGCAACCGCAACCGCAACCCGGCGACACATTTCAAAGAACCCGCGGGAGCGCGCAACCGCAACCGCAACCGCAACCGGGCGACACATTTCAAAGCGCCCGCGGGAGCAACCGCAACCGCGACCGCAACCGGGCGACACATTTCAAAGCGCCCGCGGGCTCGCAACCGCAACCGCAACCGGGCGACACATTTCAAAGCGCCCGCGGGAGCGCGCAACCGCAACCGCAACCGGGCGACACATTTCAAAGCGCCCGCGGGAGCGCGCAACCGCAATCGCAACGGCAACTGGGCGACACATTTCAAAGCGCCCGCGGGAGCGCGCAACCGCAACCGCAACGGCAACTGGGCGACACATTTCAAAGCGCCCGCGGGAGCGCGCAACCGCAACCGCAACCGCAACCGCAACCGGGCGACACATTTCAAAGCGCCCGCGGGAGGGCGCACCCGCAGGGTTTCAAGGGGGTCGATTGCGCGTGCACTTGTGCGTAAGCTGCCCGCGGAAGGTGGCGCGTAGGCGCCTTAATGCGGTCTGCCGCGCGAGCGGCTTGCGTGATCCACCGCGCAAGGTCGTCGCGCAATCGAGTGCAACCCCCCTTCTGATCGTTTCTCCCTGGGGGTCAGGCGAGTGGAATTGCCTCAGCCACGTCTCGGCCACGCTCGTGGGACTGCCCCCCGCAGGGTTTCAAGGGGGTCGATTGCGCGGGCACTCGCGCGCATGCCGCCCTCGTAAGTTCGCGCGTCTGCCGCGCGAGCGGCCTGCGTGAGCCACCGCGCAAGGTCGTCGCGCATTCGAGTGCAACCCCCCTTCTGATCGTTTCTCCCGGGGGGGTTCAGGCGAGTGGAGTTGCCTCAGCCACATTTCGGCCACGCTCGTGGGACTGCCCCCCGCAGGGTTTCAAGGGGGTCGATTGGGGGCGGGGGACGACAAGGAGAAGAAGGAGGAGCCACTGGCGGAGGGCCCGACGACGAGCCCCCGCGTGGCCCGCGGTTCTCCGCCGGGACACTGCAGCGGGGAATCCCTATTCCACGCTGCTGCCCTTGATTGGTTTCCCCATCGCCTTCCTCCCTCTCTTCCCTTCTCCTCCCCTTTGTTCCCCCCGTCCCATCCTTTCCCTCCCTCCCCCCTCCGCCAGCCCGGGTTTCAGATCCACTTCGTGGACGGCCCAGGTTCGCGACGTGGCCCTGGCCTGGGTCAGCGTCGAGCCAAGTCAACGCGTCCTCGACCAGAGGCCCGAAAAGGGCTACGAACGCTAACTTAGTTGCCTCGATACGCCCGTGTTGAAACGCAATACGTCCCGTGTTCAAGACGTCCGTGTCAATACATGGCGTGTTGGCTCCACGTATTGGGGCCACGTTCTGGCGGATGTATCGCGTCGGACCTACGTGTTCAGCCTACGTGTTGAGCTCCGTATCGATACGCTACGTGTTGCGTGTTGCGTATCGGGGCAAATTAGAACGTCAAGTTTTTGACTTTCGATCCTCGGTGGTCCTCCTCCTCTGCTTCCTCCTCCTCCTCCTTGCCTCCGAGCTCCCCCCCCTGCCGCCCTAAGGCGGGCGCAAGAAGGAGCCCGAGCGGGTGGCCTTCCTTGCAGTGCTGTCGAAGCCCGGCGTGCCGGACAAGCGCTTCACCATCGCCAAGGCGGGGGTGGAGGAGGAGCAGGACGAGGAGGAGTAGGAGGAAGAGGGAGGAGGAGGAGGAGGAGGAGGAGGAGGAGGAGGAGGAGGAGGAGGAGGAGTCGTTCGAGGAGGAGGAGGAGGAGGAGGAGGAGGAGGAGGAGGAGGAGGAGTTCGAGGGGGGATCCAGACAGCCAGCGTTTCGAAGTTGTGGAAGTCGTCTACGGCGAGGCACCGCCGCCCCTTGCCATTTAGGACGCGCCTGTGTGGCGAAGCGTTGGGGCAAGTTTGGGCCAAGCTACTGGACCATGCGTTCCCCCAGCCGTTGTAGAAACCGTTCGGTGAGCACGGAGCACGTGGTGGAGTAATAGGAAGAGGAGGAGGAGGAGGAGGAGGAGGTGGAGGAGGAGGAGAAGGAGGAGGAGGAGGAGAGGGTGGAGGAGATCTCCTGGGAGTCTCCAGGGTCGTTTTTGGGGACCTCCTCGGAGCTGCCTGGGGGCCTCTTGGAGGCCTCTTGGAGGCCTCTTGGCGGCCTCCTCGGGCTGGTTGGGCTGTCTGACTCAGGGCGATCCTGGCTCGTCTGACGCCGTCGGAAGCCGTTGTTGTGGCTTCTCGTGGTCGTCTTTATCCATCCACCATCCACCCCAACCCAGTCCGAAGGCCCCAACTTGCCAACCATTCCCAGCGGGGGCCGTCGGGCAAAAGCATTGATGGAACCCTCCCCCCCCCAAAAACCCGAAATTCAGGTCTTCGGGTTGGGTCGGGGTGGTCTGGTAGGTAGTCAGTCTTTGAGCCCTCTCGGGATGCTTCTGGCTTGTTTGGGAGGCCATCTTGGGCGTCTCGTAGGCCTCTTAGGTTGTCTCGGGGTCCTCTATTTAGGGGCCTCTTGGGCCGTCATGGGGCCATCTTGGAGGTCTCTAGGGGCTATCTTGGGGCCCTCTTGGACTGGCAAATCTCAATGAAAGCCTTTTGGTTCTGGCACCTCGGGTGTATTCTCAGGAGGCCTCGGGCCACCTGGAGCCGTCCTGGGGCCTCTTTGGGCGCCTATTGGATTGGGGGCCATCTTGGGCTGGCTGATGCTGTCTTGGAGGCCATCTTGGGCCCTCTCTTTTTAGGCCATCTCCGAGCCCCCAAGGGTTCCGTCATTGGTTCAGCCCCCTCCCTGCCCTCCCCCGGAGATGCGGCCATCCTCTCGCGTCGACCCCCTGGGGACGTCGGCCCCCTGCGGAGGGTGAGCAGGGGGACTGCGGGACCAGCCGCTCGTCACAGACCCCTTCAGAGAATCAGCGGGCGGGGGTCGGCGGATGGGGCTGACTGTGGTTGCGTGTCGCTTCCTTTTTTCCCTATCCCCTTCTCGTCCCTATTCCTCCTATTCCGTTTCCCTATCTCCAATCCCTCCTTCCATCTTCAATGTCGTTTTGGTATCGTTTTCGGCTTCCCACATTCGTCCCACATTCGTGTCTCTCCTTCCCTCCCGTTTTCCCTGCCTTCTCCTCCCTATTCCTTTCTCGTCTTCCTCGCTGTACGTCGGGGGCGTTCGTTGAGGAATCCGGGAGGATTCCTAGTCGTATGAGAGCGGCGGTAAGGTCCATGGCCAAGCCTCCATTGGTGCTCCACTGACTTTCAGACCCTGGGTTCCTCATCCACGGGTTCGCTCACCGTACAGTGGAAATCCATGCCAAGAAGCACCCTGCTTGCCTCCAGGGTGCCCTGGGTTTCTTGGGTTTCGATGGTTTTGCGATGGAAAGCCTGACGTTCCCACACCAAAGTCGATGGACGTCCTATGGTCTCAGGGTTGGGTTTCTTGTGCAAGGTTTCTTGTGGTCGAGCTCCTACTGCAGTGGACGCTTAGCGCTTTATCAGGGGAGGGCGAACGGAGACAAAGGGAGTTGGCCTTCAGGGTGTCCCTTCGTCGTCACGGCTGGGCGCAGCTCGGAAAGCAGGTGCGTCTGGATTGCGGGAGGGGTAAGGGTTCGGTTTCTTGTGTAAGGTGTCTTTTGGTCGAGCTCTTTCTGTATTATGTGCCTTTCTCGTCCTCTTCATCCTTCGAAGAAGAAAACAAGCCATAAACATGAACTTTTGGCGCTCCGCGCGCATTTGTGGGAGCCACGCTGGGCCCCCCCCAGCGACGCCTCTGGCGCCGCCCCCTGGCGCGCTCCGCGCCCCAGGGAGGGGGGTCCGGCGCAGATCCAAGAGAGCCGCGCGGAGCGCCAAGAGTTTGTGCTTCAGGCAGCTGTTCCTCCCAGTGTGGCCGAGCTCCTGCTCTGGTATCTCGTCGTCCTGGCTGCGCGCCCTCCTCTGCCGCCCCTGGCCGCGAGGACCGAAGCAGGAAGGAGTGGACCTGCGGCGGCGGCCCCGGCTGCCCCGGCCCTCCCCCCTGGCGACGCGCCGCGGCCCAGGGTGGCCCCGCGGATCGCAGGTCGGGAGCCTCGAGACGGGGCTCAGTGCAAACGGGGGTCCGCCAGGGCACAGAGAGCGTGAACTACCTACCCCGCTTCCGCTCCCAGGCAAAACCAAGTCATACCACGTGCCTCCTCGTCCAGCGGCCTGTCCAGTGCAGGCCGTAGTTTGGTATCGCTTGGTATCTCTTGGAAGCGAGGGTGGTCAAAACCGAGGTAGGTTTGTTTACCCCTTAAGGGCACCGGATCCTGCAGGATCCTGCGAAGATCCCCTCTGGGCTGACCCGGGACATCGAGCCGCTCGTGGCCGCGAGGCGGCCGCGCACATTGGCTGACCTGGGTTTGTGAAGACCTGCGTTGCAGTGTTTGTTCCTGCGTTGCAGTTTTTGGTTTCCTGCTGACCCGGGTCTGGATTGACCCGGGTCAGAAGATCCCCGAGTAGGGCTCGTCTCGATCGGGCGGGTGGTACTGGGGGGGGTGGCCTGCACGGGGGGATGAAGAACAGGAGCCTACATGGGGCACTTTGGGGCCCCTTTGGGGCCCAGGCTGTCTCCAAGAGGGGCCCTACAGTGCCCCTGCAGGGCCCCTTTTCTTGCCCCCCCAAGTAGGTCCCTCCCCCCCTTCACCACCTGCCCGATTCGACTCCTCCGGCTCGACTACATCGAAGAAGAACAACGGCGTACACGTAATTTTTTGCCGCTCCACGCGGATTTCTTGGATCCGCTCGGTAGCCAAATCATGGGAGGCTCAATTCCGTCTGTACATCGATTAGCGTCGATTGATGTCTGGGAGTCGATGCGATAGCGCCGAATTGGCGTCGATTAGCGTCGATGTTACGTCGGTTAGAGTCTTAGGGCGCGCTTCGACTCCTCCGGCTCGATTACACCGAAAAAGGAATAACGGCATACATTCGGCGTCGCCCCCACATACTGGTAGTATGTGTGCGTCGCCCCCCATGTGCGACGCGCGCACCGAGACATCTTATAGTATATGCGTCGTGGCAGGCGTTTTCTGGCCATACCGTTCGGAAAAGGATCTGTTACAAGATGGGTATACCATATGTTCCGGTCGGACGCACGTCTCCAAGGAGGACATATACTCGTGCGTCCTATACACATGAATTTGTGGCGCTCCGCGCGGATTGTTTGGATCCGCGCTGGGCTCCCCAGCGGCGCCTCGGGCGCCGCCCCTGGCGCGCTCCGCGCGCCAGGGAGGGGGGTCCTGCGCATGTCCAAGAAGACCGCCCGGACCGTCGAAAGTTTATGTTTATGCCATTGTTTGTTTTGTTACATTCGATTGATTCCGAGTTCGAGTCGATTCGACCTCGGATTCCGATTCGGATTTCGTTTTCTCAGTGTAGGCCATACTAGCTTGCCGATGTTCCGCCGGTTCGGCTTCTGCTGACTTGGCTGTTGATTTTTCGCCGATCCGACTCGTGTCGATCGCGGATCCGACTTGCCGATTCGATTCTGCGCTCTCCTGAAGACGCATGCTTGGGCGGCTTTCGGAGGCGTCCAAGGGGGGGGGGGATGACTGGGGTCGTGTCCACCTATTAGAGCTTGAAGTCGTCCACGCCAATGCTTGCGCAGACATCCCACCCTCCCACCCGATGCCTGTTTGGCAAAGCCCATTCGTGCACGATTACGGTGAATGGTTGGCACTTGCTGGCGCGTCTCTGCGGCCGCGCTGGCGCGGGCACGCCCGTACCCGGGGCGACCAGTTGGTCTGGCACAGCCGCTGCGACCACGAAGGCGCTTGCGGACGGGAGCTGCCCAGCGCGTCTCACAGGCGCGTGTGAGCATCATGGCCGGGGCCACGGCATCTCCCTAATGTTTTCCAGCCTCGAACCTATCCCTATCCCTAAGGTTGACACGCCGAAATGCGATGACAGTCTTGAAGATGCGCCTTCAAAAAATGGGGGAACCCCTAAGACTGGCATCGTGATGAGGAGATGCCCAGCGTAGGGATAGGGATACAGTCAAAAACCCTAATGAGGACGCGCGACTTTGCTCAGGGTACCCTTGCGTCCTTGCTCTTGCGTCCTTGAGTTTTCGTCGTCCGCCGCCCCAAAAATCCCAACCGCGGCTTCCAAGGGTCTCGCGTCCTTACCGCGCGTCCTTAGTCGTGTTTTTGACGGCATGTTCCAGGCTGGTGAAGTGCTCAGGGGCCCCTGCTCTTCTCCTTCAGTGCCTCCCCCTTCGCCCCCGCCTCTCCCGCGCACGGGCCCTGCGCCGAGGTCTGCGAACCCCGCCTGTCTTGAAGACGCCCCCCTCCTGGACGCCCCCGAGAGCCACGGCTCCGGATGACAGCCCCTCGACGTCTTCACGCCTGGCCTGAAGTCGGGCCTGTCCCTCTGCAGGGGGGGATGTTTAAAAATAGTCAAAAAATAGTCTGGGGACTTTTTTTTTTTGTTTTGTTGTTTTGTTTTTTTTGTTTTGTATTTTTTAATCTATATATATATATATATATATATATATATATGTTGACCATTAGGGGGCATGTTTTGCATATGTTTTGTTTTTCGTCGACAAATCCCCCTGTAGGGGGACACGCCCGACTTCAGCCTAGCCTGGGCGCCGCTGGTCGCCGCGGCTGGTCGCCGCTCCAGAGTCCTGGGCGGAGCGCACCCCACGAGGGGCTTCGGGGGTCGGCTGTGAAGGAAGGAGGGCCCGGACTTCTGGCGACTCTGAAGACACAGGACGGTGCTGTTGCCCACGTTTCGGCATTCGTGCCGGGGTCCAGTCCTGAGCCTCAGGATCGTCGAACAACACGGGGGATGGGCACCCAGTCCCAAGCGGGTCCTGGGCAAGGAGTCCAGAGGGCCGACGGCTCGAAACTCGTGGGTTCTCGGCAGTCCGGGGTTTAGGCATTCTGATTTGGAGGGAGGAGGAGGGCGAGGAGGAGAAGAAGGAGGAGAGAAATGTGGGGGCAGGATGAGAAGATGGAGGAGGAGAAAGGGAAGGAGGAGGAGGGGATACAGGAGGAACATGCAGGTTGATGCTGATGGTGATGATGATGATGATGATGATGATGATGATGATGATGATGATGATGATGATGATGATGATGATGATGCTGATGCTGATGCTGATGCTGATGCTGATGCTGATGCTGATGATGATGATGATGATGATGATGATGATGATGATGATGATGATGATGATGATGATGTTGATGACGATGATGATGCTGATGCTGCTGCTGCTTATGGTGACGATGCTGATGATGATGAGGTGGAAGAGGAGGGGGAGGAGTAGTTATGATGAGATAGAAGGGGAGCACGGAGGAGGAGTTGGGTCGAGGAGGGAGGAAGAGGACGACAATGAGAGTGGTTTGATGAGGAGGGGTGGTACGATGGAAGTTAATTGGAATTCTGGGGTGGATAAGGAACAAGAGGAGGATGGGGAAGAGGAAGGGGTAGGACGGTGATGATGAGCATGGGGAGGACAAGGTGGATGCGGAGCATTAGGGGTAAGAGGATGTATGAGGAGTAGGACGAACGGGTTGGGAGGGGAATGGGGCCGAGACCAGGTACTTTGGCGGACAGGCTGCGAAGGAGGATGCGGAGATTGATAGTAGTAGTAGATTGATGAGGATGAGGAGGAATGGGAATGACACTGCGGGTAGGAACATAATATTTAGAGGACGAGGGACATGAGGAATATTGGCGAGGGCAGGATGACTATTATGAACATGAACAGGGGCGTTAGACGACCAGGCGGAGAAATGAGATTTGTAATGCTTGCTGGTGGTGATGGTGCTGATGCTGCCTCTGCTGTTGCTGATGATGATGCTGAGGACGATGAAGATGGTGATGATGCTGCTGATGCTGATGATGCTGATGATGATGATGATGATGATGATGATGATGATGATGATGATGATGCGGATGAGGATGGCGATGCTAGTGATGATGCTGCTGAGGATGATGATGCTGATGATGCTGATGATGCTCATGCTGCTCATGCTGATGGTGACAGGAGGTGGTGGTGATGATGCTGATGATGATGCTGATGTTGCTGCTGATGACTGTGATTGGGAATCGGAGAAAGACGATAAGGGGAACGAGCGGGATACTGATTCTGATGATGAGGAGGAGGAGAAAGAGGAGGACGAGGAGGAGGAGCGAACATGAGGAACATCAGGATCAGCCATCCTTTGAGCGCTGGCCGGGGTCGACCGCGGACCAAGCTTCGATCAACGGGGAGTTGTGCGCTTCAGCGTAGATAGGGATGGGGGCGTGGACAAGAATGACGAAGACGAGCAGATGCAGGAGGAGGAGGAGGAGGAGAAGGAGGGGATGAATACACATATGTATGTATGCATGTACGAATAACATAGATGTCTATAAATGTGGAACTATACACATACACGTATGTACACTCATCTGTTCAAAGGGAGGTGGAGGGAGTGGGGGAGAGAGAAACAGAGAGACAGAGAGAGAGAGAGAGACGGAGTCATCGACAGACGGAGAGAGAGCGATGAGCTATCATGAGGGAGGGAGGGAGGGGAGGCATGGAGGGCAGGGCTTGAGATGGAGAGAAGGGAGGGACGGCGAGGCAGCAGTGAGCACGGGCCGCATTTAACCTCCAGTGGTGTGGAGCGTCTCGATTCGGCAGGACCGAGGCCGGGGCCTCGGGGGCCGGCCCGAGCAAAAGGGAGCGCGACCCGAGGCAACGGCACCCTCATGCGCGAGGAGAGCGGCGTCGAGGTCCTCCACTGGCAGGCCGGGGACGGGCGGGTCAGCACCTGGTCCCGCGAGGGCTGCGTCTACTTCGACGCCCCCCCGGGCGAGCAGGGCATGCCCGAGGTGACGAACGAACAACACACACACACATACCCATAGGGAGGTCGTTGGGAGGAGGACTGGCTATGGGTATGGGTGCGGGTGGTCGGACCCTGGGGAACGCTCCCGCTCGAGCGGGGACCCCCACCCGACAACACGCACCCATAGCCCTCTCCGACCCCTCTGTGGCTATGGGTGTGTGCTGTTGGTTCGCCACGAGGGGGGCATGATGGCCGACCAGCACCAGAGCTGGACGATGCCGATGATCTTCACGCTGGTGCCGAGCGAGGCCCCTGGGGCGCGGCGCGCTCTCAAGCCGCAGCGTCTCGAGCCAGAACGCTGCGTGGCCTCCTCCTCCTCCTCCTCCTCCTCCTCCTCTCACTCCTCTCCTCCTCCCTCCTCCCTCCTCCTCCTCCTCCTCCTCCTCCTCCTCCTCCTCCTCCTCCTCCTCCTCCTCCCTCCTCCTGCTGCCAACAGGTGTTGGGCACCCCGCGGCTCGGTTCGATCGGCGCCGGCCCCCCTCGCGGCGCGCGGCTGGCGCAGATCCAGCGAGGAGGGCCGAGCGCAGATCTCCCAGAGAGCTGCGCGGACCCTCGGCAGGCTCGGCTCATGCAGGCCGTCTTCGGTTCCTTTGGGCGTTCACCAGCCTGGAACAGATCCCTATCCCTATGCTGGGCACCTCCTCATCACGATGCCAATCTCAGGGATGCCCTCATTTTTTGAGGGCGGATCCCTAGGATTGTCATCGCCTTTTGGCGTGTCAGTCTTAGGGATAGGGACACGTTCGATGCTGGTAAGGCATGCCGCTCTCAAGCCGTGGAGGCGGGCGCGAGGATGGGCGCGCGCGCGCGTGCGCACGGGAGCACCCGAGAGGGGGGCGCGGAGCGGGACTGGGTCGGAGCGGAAGAAGAGGAGGAGCAGGTGGGCCCGGCAGCTCCGCAGCAGCGCAGGCTGCCGCGAGGGCGTGGCGGCCCTGCGCGAGGCGGGAAGCGGGCTGAGCCTACCACAGCGGTGTGCAGAGCGGTGCGTTGCCAGACACGGACCAAGCTCAGGGCAGTCCCTTGAGAGCCAACGGGTCCGCCACGTCGCGGCTGGCACTCGGCCGAGGAGCAGGAGGAGGAGGGGGAAGAGGGGTTGGGAATCTAGCAAGGTCATGCCGCCTTGACTCCGAGGCTGGGATTTCTGCTTCACCTTCTGCGGAGCCGAGAGGTATGAACCCCCGCTTCGCATGGACGCGGCGGGCGCGTTCGAGGCTTAGTGCACTTGGGCCCGCCAGGCGGGGACCTTCCAGAAGGCCCGGGGCATCTGATCAGGCCTCTTGGAGGTGGAGCTAGGAGGAGGGAGGGGGAGGGAGGAGGAGGAGGGAGGAGGAGGGAGGAGGGATGAGGAGGGAGGAGGAGGGAGGAGGGAGGAGGAGTGAGGAGGAGGAATGAGGAGGAGGAGGAGGAGGAGGAGGGGGAGGAGGAGGACGAGGGAGGAGGAGGGAGGAGGAGGAACTTCTAAGACGCGCAAGGCCGCCCCCCGTCGCGCCACCCTTCCGTGCGCACGGCCAACCAAATCCGACGCGCTCCGATCTGCGGCCGGGGTCGGAGGATGGCGCCGCATCGCCGAGGAATCGGCGAATTTGGCGCGATCCCGAGCCCGATGTCTCCGTCCAGACGTCGCCGGTGCACCGCCGATGCGGTGCGATCCTCCGACCCTCACCCTGACACGTCGATTCGTGAATTGTCCGCTTTCGGTTCTCGAGAGGGCGCCGCGGCCGTCATTTTCCAGGCTTGCGCCCGCCAGGTCTGGACCTTCATGAAACCGCGTTTTTGAAAAGAGGGTTCTGTCCACCCCCTGTTTATGGCTGCATGTCGGGGGCCCCTCCGATGATGGCCATAGTCTAGGCCTCCTGGATGGGGTCGGAGCAGATGGGGTCGGAGGATCGCGCCGCATCGCCGATGCATCGGCCATGCATCGGCGATGCGGCTCGATGCGGAGCCCGATGTTCTTCACGCCTGCGTCGCCGAGGCATCGCCGACGTCGACGATGCATCGCCGGTGCATCGCCGTTACAGCGCCGATGCATCGCCGATGTGCCGGTGATGCGGCGCGAACCTCCGACTCCATCTGCTCCGACCCCATGTGGGAGGCCTCTACATAGGCGGGGAGGTGCGTGCTTTCCACCGGTGTGGGTCTGAGAGCCCCCACCTGGGGTGAGAGTGGGCCTGGGGCGTCCGAAGCCGTTTCGCCCCCCCCCCCCCCTTGCTTGGCCTTATGATGCTCCAACCCATTTTAGCCTTGACCACCAGGAAGAATTTCGAACGCCCAAAAAAGTACCGAAACTCAAGGGCTTTCACGTGTCTGGCCCTGAGAGACACTCGCCCGACACTGTTTCGACACTGTTTCGACACTCTTTAGACACTTTTCTGGGTGCTCGAAATCATTTTTGGGATGTGGCCCTTAAGTAGGATGGGAACAACAGAAGCTTGGCCGTCGTCTCCTCAGCCTTGTTGCCCCGAGCTCGCGAGGATTCAGTCGGGCGTGTCCCTCTAAAGGAGGAATTCTTGAAACGAGTCCAAGAATAAAGGGTGGACGATTTTTCGATTGTTTTTGATAAGGGGGACATGCCCGACCTACCGCGAGGAGCGACGCGTGAGGGCCGATTCCAACAAACATCGGCGCGTGGGGTGGCGCCGTTTCTGGGCAGGCCTCGCCGCCGGTTCCCCTGGCGAGCGTGGTCGGCTCCACCGCCTCCGCCTCCGCCTCCGCCTCCGCCTCCTCCTCCTCCTCCTCCTCCTGCTCCTCCTGCTCCTCCTCCTCCTCCTCCTCCTCCTCCTCCTGCTCTGGGGGTGCTAGCCGCGTCGGCAGAAGCCCTCCTCCTCTGGACCTTCGGCGGCCACGCGCAGAGGGGGTCACGGGGGAGGGGCATGGCTTCTCAGGAGGACCGGGGGAACGTAAGACTCGAGTAAGCTGGAGCTCGGGCTTGCCGACGTTTTGTGTGACGAGCGCATCCTGGATTTTGACGGTCCCGTTTTCGTGTGGTGTTTGCAGCGGGAGCTCGCGTTCAATTTCAGACTGGGCCTCGTCATTCTCATCATGGCCCCGTCAGGCCATCCCGAGTCCCCCGTACCCGAGTCTTGCGTCTCCCCGAGAGGAGGCTGCTTCTTCGAAGGCGCGGGCCTCGACTGCGGACGTAGGGCCGGCGCCCTCCAGGAAGCGGCCCCCTTCTGCGGAGCCTTCCCCCTCCCCCTGCCCCCATGGCGCGCGAGAGCCCGCTCGGGCGATTGAGCCCGCAGAGCGGGGGGCACTGCGGGCCTCCCGGGGGAGGTTTGCCCGCAGGTGCTGCAGAACATCGGTGGGTGTTCGGGATCGTGCCCAGAGGATGGTCTTGCACGAAGGATTGCAAAAAAACCCTGGATTGCAAAAAAACCCTGGGTTGTTTTGCAATCCTGGGTTTTTTTTGCAATCCACCACTCGTTGCAGTGTTCCTTGGGGCCATGTTGGCGGCCCATTGGGGGGTCGGGCGGCATCCAGGGGTCCCCCCCCTGCCCCCGCGTGCGCGCCGCCAGCTTTCAGCAGGGTACGAA